ACTGAAAAGATAGCTTTGAAAATATATACACTCATGTGTACTGGGTATGCTCATGGGCCACCTTCTAATTTACAGGAATAATGCTTTCCAACATCCAGTTTCTTAACTGGGCGAGACGTTCTTTTTTACAAATGCAGAAGAGCTCATCCCCTAGACACAGCCTCACTAGAAAGCTAACACAATTAATGCTAACACTGTTTTGCCCAGGCAAACTGTAGGAGTGCATGTGTATAAACATATCTTATACAGATAAATGGATATACCTCTGTGTGTGTAGAGAAAACTACAGATACACCAGCTGGAGTTTTCTGAGTTCAGATACATTTTGCATGTAACTATGACTGCTGAGGAAAACCCAAGCTGAAGGTTTTAGAATTTTTCCTAATGTGTTTCAGAGGCCTCTGTTTAAGATCTAGGTAAGGAATGACCTTAAGGACAACAATGAGAAGTTCTGACTAGCTTGAGTCCAATGGTATTTCTTGGATATGGCTGCTAGTAAAAAAAAAACAAAACAAAACAACAAACAGAAGGCTGAAAGTGAGGAAATGAGTTGCACTGCCTGAATAGATGGCAAAGAACAAGCTGCAAAGAAAGAGTGCACAGAAGCTGGTGGAAGCTGTATTTAAAAGGTTGCTGAAATAATGGTTCAAGGGGAATGCTGACAAGAAATCAGAGAGACTAACCAAAGGCCCAGTGAAATTTCTGTTTGAAAGGTGTATTTCTAAGAACCAAAATCAGAATCAGACTCTTCCACACATTGCAATGTGGCATCTTAGAGATCCTGTCCATGTGCAAACCCAGTAGTGAGGTGATCACCCCAATCTGTGGTTAAACAAGCACAAAGCGCACCAAGTGCTAACTCAGAGGCGTGTGTTTTCTACTGCTGGTGTAATCCAGTTTACTTCACATACACACTCTTCTGTCATCCAGCAGCATAAGGGCTGAGTGGGGATTTTCCTAGCATTCACCTTCCTCAGGCATTTTATGTTTTGGAAGATTTTCTTCTACCTGTGAGTTAAAATGCTTTTCAAAGATCCCATGCATCTCTGAATTAGAAACAGAACACCCCTCTCTCTACAAAGATAAATGGGCATGCAGATAGAACATTTTATTCAGAAAAGCTTGTCTCCAAAGCATCCTTCTGTGAAACTTATTTCCATGTTGACATGTTTATGTAAAATAGCATTTTGTAGATATCACACACCCCCACACCCCCCCACTTTGCTAGCTGAAAGTTTGTTTGTCCCCTTTTCCCAACGTATTAAGTCTATGGGTACACTGACAAGTGAGATGGCCCAGTAAAACCAGATTTATAGTGAAACAGTGAGTGCTGAGGACCCATCACCCACACACTTCATGTCTGGGGTTTACTTCAGATGAGCTTCAGTCTGGCCCCATGGACTGAATGTGCACTAGCAGCTGCAGCACATCAGCTACACTGCTAAGGCATATGTTCCAGTTTAGTCTCATCCAAAAAGAATCTGAGATCACTGTACCTTGAACCACAGCGGTAAGCAGAGAAGTCACTTAAAAAGTATAAACATGCTCTGAACTAAGTTACTAACGTTAGCATATGCATACTAACTGCCTTCCAGGAGCATTTTATGTCAGCTGTCAAACGAACTCAATTAGGCCTCTGATACACTACAGAAGCTAAAGAATTAATGGATTTGCGTGTAAAACAAATACTTCTTAAATAGAAGCAATAAAAATCTGGAAAATTTGCCACAACAGCTTACCTTATGTGTGAGCAATGCCGTAATATGTGAAAGGTTTCTGAAGGAACGTTCAGCTTGGCTGCAAAGAAACACATATCTTAAATGCAGTTTGCACTTGCAGAATAACACTGCTCAGTTGTAAGGAGATTGTTTTAATCCCCTGATTGATACAGAACGGCTCAATCTGCAAGTTTAAGGACTCCTGAATAGAAATCCTCCCAAATATCCAATATAACCAGCCCAAGTGCGATTAAGTCTGTACTAGGAAGCTAGTATTTCTGAATGTAATTTTTCCAGATCTCAACAAACGCTGTTTTTGAAAAAAATAGTCTCAGAAGGGTAGTTCTGGTAGCATTAGGGGCCCTGCTAAACAAACAGCTGTCATGACTAATTAGGTCAGCGATTTATGGAAGTCAGTACTCTGCCAAAGCTTTAAGACGGATGAGGCAGTGCATTACAACTTCAGAAAACGCAATTACCAAGAAAACCTGACACAGGTTTGCTTCCCCAGCAGATAAGCCGCAGGGTGTTGGGACTCTGCATGACCCAGAGCCCTGTCACCTGCGTCAGGTGGGTGGTATTACTGCAATTCAGTCGGGGTGAAGCCATTTCAAACGTAAGACTTCGGGAAATTTGCATCAGAAGCGAAATAAACAATAGGAACCATAAGTAACATTTCCAGTCAAAAAGAAAGCCAGAGTCTCTTCCACTAGGCTTAAGGCGCTGCTGCCGCGGCCGGTTCCTCGCTGCTCTGTCCCACGCTGGCAGGTGGGTCCGCCCGCGGCCGCCCCCCCCCGCCCCGGAGTCCGCTGAGGCGTTTCCTCACACGCAGGGGAAGGCCTCAGCGCACCGCCCCGAACAAAACGCAGCCTTGACGTCAAGGTGTAAACTTTTACAAAAATTCAGAAGTCACACACTGGCCCTTAAACCACTGCCTCCCAGCTCCCCCAGAGGCTGCCCCGTCCCCCGGGCTGGCGGGAAAGCACCTTCCGCCCCCACACCGAGGCCCTCCTGTGGTGTCACCACCGTGGGTAGCAGGGTCACAACTCGCAAATAGGCTTCAAAGGTTTTCATTTCACAAGAAGTGCACTTGCTCCTTCATCTATAGTGCATAAAAAGCGTCAAAGACATAAAAGCAGGGACATAATCTCTCAGAAGTGATTTTTTCATAGAATAATGTTGTTTTGTGAGACACCTACGGATACACTGGCATGCAGCAGGGTGCTGCGCTCTCCTGCTCCCGGTGGAGCCTGCCAGAAGCTGCCTGGCTACGGGATACTGAACAAAGGCCTGAAGTACAATTTAAAACAGCAGAAACCGTTTACACTAGTAAAACATGGAAGCAGATGGTACATAAAAAGCAACATGTTAACAACCAGTAGTAACCAGTATTATGACGTGGTTGAGAAACACTCTTCTGTTTCTCACAGAGGTATCCAGACTAGCATAATTCTCCACCTCAGCAGCCTGCTCCGGCGGAGTACTGGAAACCCTCCATCCAGCTAGATGAACAGCTTTTATTACAATTTCTTAAGCCATTAGCATATTCAGTGTTAGATATATGCTAAAATATTTAAGAATATAGCAAGATAATAGATTTAATAGTAGTTCACAAATTAATTTCCCATTTTATGGCCCTAATCTATACTGATCATCACCAACCTTTCACAGCTGTGCTATGAGGTTCTTCTACAATGCCTGTAATGTTTCATTAACACTATTTCTGCTCATTTGTTACTCATGTGGGGTTCACCTCTCCATTCTCAGAAGTGGAACAAACTCCCATCTACCTCAAGAAGCCTTTATCCTTCTCTTATTATGCAACTCACTGTACCAGTCCAGGCAGATAGCTGCACCTGGCATCTTCAGCTTTTCTGTACCATGAGGCAGCTCTCCAAAGAAATGGCTCCTAGCACAGCCATGAACCATCCAGTGGTAGCATGGCTTCTGCCAAAAGTGCAAGCCATGCTTCCATGGAAATGTGAAAAGGAATCAGAAGTTCAGCACTGCGAATGTATATCTTTTGTTCTGGAAACTATAGGTTACATCCACTGAATGCTGTGTGGGATTTTATCTGGGGTATTTTCAGAAGATGGGCAAAGGGGAAGGAGTAGAAATGTCCAGTGTATTTGATGCTGTAAAAATAGAAAAGCGATTCTTTTCTGTCCTCTGAGAGTCCTCTTAATTCTTGTATCAGAAGAAAGTACCATGCTAAAATACCTGTACTCTACGGAATGTGAGAAAGGGTCAAGATGTAATGTTATTAAGAAAAGTGAGCCACCCCCCATCCCCAGAAGACAGATGCACCAGAGTACTACACTACTGCAAAGGCCAAATGTCTGTATTTTAATAAGTTAGAAGAAATCCAGATATAGAAGCCATAGAGTCACTGAAATGTTAACAAGTTAATCTATTTTAAAGCAAATGTAACACAGTGTACACATAAAAACCATTTAATACAAAGTGAAAACCATTAGATGCACCTACTAATGTAGACTTTTGGTTATTTTCAGCTCTTTCACTGAAACCCAGAAACAATGCTCTTCATTTCAGTTACACCAGGTTACATGGTGAAACTGATCTACAGCAAGCAAATCAGTGCCTTTTCATTCACCTGGGAAAGACAGCACCACTGCAACTGGTAGTCTCTCCAGAAGGGCATCCAAACAAACCAGGCTGTGCACGTTTGCCCCACTCACTAAGCTATACAAGAAACCAGATGTGGATTGATTGTTGCTTCTCAATAGTAAAGCTCAGTAAGTGCATCTTTGCTGTACAAAAAAAAATATTAAAGTGACAACATAGAAAACTGGCAACAGATAATCATGTCTGCCTAAAATATACACATATGATACATAATTATGGGCCATGCTGGCCAGTACGTAAGTCTATTCAGGAGCAAAGCTTTAATCGCACAGATTAGAAAACTGAACAAATGCTTTTACAGAGCAAACAAGCTTTGGTTTATGCTTAGACAGTGAACATTAAACCTTCCACTTTTATTAGAATGTCTATGATGAAAAATGGCTCCTTTCACTGCTACATGCAATAGTAGTTTCTCTATGAATAAGCACTCCATTCCATACAAAGAAATGAAGCTCAGTGTCTTATTTAATGAACCCATTAGCTGTATCTAGACTGGGAATGCATTAAATCTTTACAAAAAGCTACTGAATTACAAAAAGTTTGACTTACTTCCTTCCCAATCCCCCAGCAACAGCCCCCC